AAACTCTGAGTCACGTATAGTACAGTTGGAACAAACTCTGAGACACATGTAGCACAGTTAGAACAAACTCTGAGTCACGTACAGTACAGTTGTAACAAACTCTGAGTCACGTGTAGTACAGTTGGAACAAACTCTGAGACACATGTAGCACAGTTAGAACAAACTCTGAGACACATGTAGTACAGTTGGAACAAACTCTGAACTTCATGTACAACAGTTATAACAAATTCAATCATGTGCATTGCAGTTGTAACAACATCTTAGTAACGTGTACTACAACTTCTCTGTGTGCTTGTGAAACGACTGTAATCGTTTCGAAATAACTGCTGCATAACTTCAACTATTCTTCACCTATATTAAATAGGATTTTGCGTTTTGATTATTGGTACTTTTATCTAACATGCGTGGCAACAGCCTTTTAACAAACTAACCTATCAAGCTGTCTCTCTATCGTTTCGACTGTCAAGTTATGGCGTACATGTTTTTGGTGTTTTTTTTTCGCACATTGTCGAACTTTAAACCCTCTTCTGCTGTTAGCGTCTTATTACTATTTTTAACTCAAACACAAGGATAATGTAGCAGTGTTATCAAACCATCCTCTTCCCGAGTATCACTAACTAGTATAATAAGTACGTAATAGTGAACAAACAGGAAGTCGGAATAAGAAGAGTTATTATATAGCCAGAGATAACCACGTGATCCCATTATATATATATTTTTTTTTTCAGTGAAGTGTTCGTAGTACGAAGTTCGAAGTCCGGAATATGTCATATTTAACAAGTTTGTGTGTAGTATTTCATAATGTTATTTTTAAAAAATTATTTTTGTATGAAAATAAAGTAAAGAATTATGTTAGTTAATTAACACAAATTACTGTATTTAGTGAATGGAATACTTAACTATATTTCTTTCGCAACGGAAAAAAAAAACTTTCTCTTTGTATATATATATAAATATATGTATTTAAATCAATCAAAGAAGCCCAAACAACATACACACGCAAATTAAAGAAACTGCACCAATTAAAATGATCCCCAGGGTACAGGCTGTAATGTGGGATATAAAATGTGCCCTAGGTTTTCGAGATGACTGCGGAAGTAGAACCCACACTGTGGTGTGGATACATCATCATCATCAACAAGTATTAACCTCCTTTCGCCAGTCTTACATGATTAAAAAAAAGAAATAAACAAAAACTAAGTAAGAAATAAATAAAACAGGTTAGTAGAGCATGATGTGGGTGCTCAAGCTCACAACGTCCCACGTCTGTATCACTCTTCAATGTCTGTAGACATCTGTGGGAAGATCACCCTTCAATGTTTGCAGACAGTTGTGGGAAGATCACCCTTCAATGTCTGCAGACAGCTGTGGGAAGATCACCCTTCAATGTCTGCAAACAGCTCTGGGAAGATCACCTTTCAATGTCTGCAGACAGCTGTTGGAAGATCACCCTTCAATGTCTGCAGACATCTGTGGGAAGATCACTCTTAATTGTATGCAGACATCCGTGGGAAGATCACCCTTCAATGTCTGCAGACATCTGTAGGAAGATCTCCCTTCAATGTCTGCAGGCAGCTGTGGGAAGATCACCCTTCAATGTCTGCAGACATCTGTGAGAAGATCACCTTTCAATGTCTGCAGACATATATGGGAAGATCACCCTTCAATGTCTGCAGACATCTGTGGGAAGATCACCCTCAAATGTCTACAGACATCTGTGGGAAGATCACCTTTCAATGTCTGCAGACATCTGTGGGAAGATCACCCTTCAATGTCTGCAGACATCTGTGGGAAGATCTCCATTCAATGTCTGCAGACATCTGTGGGAAGACGACTGCTCTCAAAGAAAAGAAAAAGATATAGGAAATTGAAATAATTGATAATTGTATTCATTTAGATGTTTTTGATAAAAGAAAATATTTTTCTTTTCCAATTTACGGCCCAATCTTTCTTAATAGTAATATACCCTACTCCTCTGTTATAAATATTATAACTTCACAATTGCTCAGATTTTGTAAAATTTTTAATAAATTACAATATTTCATCATTAGTGTTGATATATTGATGCAAAAATTAGTATTTAATTGATTTAACAAAGAAACATTAAAAAAATCATTAAAATATTTTGAGGTAAATATAAAAATGTAATACATAAATATAAAGAAGAACAAATTAATAAGTTTTTGCATGAAGATTCAATAAGAATTTTTAGATTTTAATAAGGTCGTTAAAATAGCTCGACACTATTTTCATGCGTGTATAAACACCTTTAACGCATATAAATACAAGTGTAAAAAATATTTACGTAAAAACTAAGAAGTAGGAGTGGGAGCATCAAAAAGTAAGGAAACAAGGTAGGAATGGGCAGGATAACATTATAACACTTTGTGATTTTTGACACGGTGCAACCTCAAAGTGGGTGTGGCCATCGTTCTGCCCATTTCTACTTCGTGTGCTTTTTTGTAACTTGGTAAGTGTTCAAACTATGTAAAAGGTGAATATAGCTAAGTTTCTATGTTGTAATTTTTGTTTCAGCAACCAAGTACAGGTACATGTACATAATCGAAATGCGTGATCCTAACGAACTACATGACATCATAAGGGGGTGTTTGATGTCGGAAGTGAGAAAGGGTGTTCCAATAGTCATATGTTGTGCATGAGAGACGGTATAACTATCTGACTGGTAAGGGGGTGGCCAAAAGAATAGTATCAAAATCTCTGATTTTTTGAAATATTTAAATTTCTTGAATGTTTAGAAAGGATTAGCTACTGATAAAAAATAAATTCAAGTTTATAATTTGATAAAAGTTCAAAGTAAAACACGAAGTAGGAATGAGCAAGTGTTGTAATGTTGTTGCACCCATTCCTACCTTGTTTCCTTACTTTTTTTCATGCTCCCATTCCTACTTCCTAATATTTTTACACTTGTCTCATAGCCTTTTTGGTGCAAAGTCACCAGAGTGATTGAGCTCTAGCCCCTCCTTCTCGTAGCTTTTCTTAGAGCTATCTATCGAAATTTCCTGACTTTTGCTGATATCTTTATCTTCCATCTAGTTAGGGTGGCAATAATGCTCTCTTTGCTGGTACAAATATTTTTCAAAGTTACCATTTTTTCTTTTCTCTCGTTTTGTTTCATTGAAAGGTATATTGTAAAACTTGCACTGTTTCAAGTACAACCTTAGGTGTAAATAAGTCACAGTTTGTTTGAAAACAATGCAAAGGTAAATTATAAAACTTATTTTTCTTGTTTTTAGGCTAGAGCGCTCGAGCAAAGCCTTGTCATACTTCGCCAGTAGTAGAGTTTGTCCTCAAGTCTTAGGCACTGACGGCTATGATAGAATTGCTTTGTCCAATACAGAACACTCGAGTCAGATGTATAGAAGTGAAAACTTCGCTTTCAAAGGTTAGATCATAGTTAGATCCTAGATCTGGAGAATATACGTAGTCCACATTTTTTACCTAGCTGATACAGCTGCAGACTGATCACGTAGCGCGTGTGTGTATAGGTTATATAAGGGCGCGTGCTCATAATCATAGAATATGACTTCTAACGTACTGTTCCAAAATGGTTATTGCCATCACTTGTTGTTACCAAGATTATAAGTAAAACTAAAAAAAAGACGCTTTTAGAGAAATTCAATCATGAACATTTATATTTGCATAAGGTGAAGGCAGGAGAGAGTTGCGCCTTTCCAACAAAGTTAGTCAGTCAGTCAGATTGACAACTTTTTGATTTTTGTTTTTATGAAATTTTTGTTTTTACTCTACCGACTTTTCCAAGTGCTTTGATGTTTTATTACTCTGCAGTTGGTTAGTTTACTACACAACAGTATGTGTAAAGTGCTTTTAAACTTTTCTTTACATGCTGTTTGCAGTGTGTTTGAAATTTTAATATGTTGTTGTTGTTTTTGAAGTTAAGCACAGAGCTACACATTGGGCTATCTGTGCTCTGCCCACCACGGGTATCGAAACCCGGATTCTAGCGTTGTAAGTCCGCAGACATACCGCTGTGCTTACTGGGGGGGGGGACTTTTTTATAATTTGTATTACACGTATTGCACATATTCCTCCATAAGTACTACCATACTTATGATAAAGACTCTTTTAAAGTCTGAAAATTGTATTTGCAGTTGACTCTATGAGTAAACTTAATGTGTGGAGTTTTAGGAGTTATACTGGTTGTACTTTTATATTGGAATAATTTGTCTACTGTTAGTCTCACTTACCCTTTAGTGGCGGAACCTTATTTATATTTTATTTTCTTTGTCTGCGAGCAGTGATATAGGTCCCACATCTATATCACCCTTCACTTCTCGTGCTCAAGCTCACAAAGTCCCACATTTGGTGAGCTTGAGCACGAGACGTGAAGGGTGATATAGATGTGGGACTTTGTGAGCTTGAGCACGAGAAGTGAAGGGTGACATAGATGTGGGACTTTGTGAGCTTGAGCACGAGAAGTGAAGGGTGATATAAATGTGGGACTTTGTG